TTTTTTATTGGTGCCCTAGTTACAAGTCCACCTTCGACACGCCGCTAGGGAGGGCGTCCGTTGTGATTTATTTTTTATAGGAGCCCCAGATGCATGTCTACCCTCGCCCCGCAACTAGTGGGGTCGTCCGTTTTTGTTTTTTAAGGAGCCCCAGTTGCATGTCTACCCTCGCCTCGCAACTAGTGGGGTAATCCTTTTTTTTTGTAGGAGTCCCAGTTGCCTGTCAACCCTCGCGACACAACTATGGCGGACGTCTATTTTGTTATTGGTGCCCCAGTTGCACGTCTACCTTCGACCCGCAACAAAGAGGGGTTGTTTTTGTTTTCTTATTGGCGCCCAGTTGCAAGTCTACCTTCGACCCGCAACTGGAGTCATCTGTTATTGTTTTTTTAATGGCGCCCCAGTTTCAAGTCTACGTTTGACCCGCGACCAGGGGGTGTCGTCCATTTTGCTTTTTTTATAATAGCCCCAGTTACATGTCAGTCCTCGCGATGCAACTGGGGCGTCTGTTTTGTTTTTTATTGGCGCCCCAGTTGCAAGTCTACCTCCAACCCACAACTAGTGGGAGTTGTCGTCCATTTTGATATTTTTTGTAGGAGCCTCAGTTGCATGTCAACCCTCGCAACACAACTAGGGGGGCGTGTGTATTATTTTTTTATGGGTGCCCCAGTTGCAAGTCTACCTTCGACCCGCCACTAAGGGGGCGCCCGTTTTTGCTTTTTTTTATAGGAGCCCCAGTTTGCATGTCTACCCTCGCCCCGCAACTAGGGCGGGCGTCCGTTTTGCATTTTTTTTGTAGGAGCCCCAGCTGCATGTCTACCCTCGCCTCGCAACTAGTGGGGTCGTCCTTTTTTTAGGAGCCCCAGTTGCATGTAAACCCTCGCAACGCAACTAGGGGGCGTCTGTTTTGTTTTTTATTGACACCCCAGCTGCAAGTCTACCTTCAACTAGCAACTAGGGGGTTGTCGTCCATTTTGAATTTTTTCTAGGAGCCCCAGTTGCATGTCAACCCTTGGGGCACAACTAGGGGGGGGGCATCTGTTTTGTTTTTTTATTGGTGCCCAGTTGCAAATCTACCTTCGACCCGCCACTAGTGGGCGTCCGTTTTTGATTTTTTTTATAGGAGCTCCAGTTGCATGCCTACCCTCGCCCCGCAACTAGGACAAGCGTCTGTTTTTCTTTTTTTTGTAGGAGCCCCAGTTGCATGTCTACTCTCGCCTCGCAACTAGTGGGGTTGTCTGTTTTTTTTATAGGAGCCCCGGTTGCATGTCAGCCCTCGCGACGCAACTAGGGCGGACATCTGTTTTTTATTGGCGCCCTAGTTGCAAGTCTATATTCCACCCGCAACTAGGGGGGTGTGGGTTGTTTTTGTTTTTTTACTGGCACCACAGTTGCAAGTCTACCTTCTACCCGCAACTAGGGGGTCATCTGTTTTTGTTTTTTTATTGGCGCCCCGGTTGCAAGTCT